CCACCGCTGCTCCCGCCGCTGCCGCACCGAGAACCTGAAACCGCTCCTTCACATTCTGAGCTTACGCGTTCGACCATTGACCTTTTGCCACCCATCGCTCCTGGGCCGTCTTCGGCGGTCTGTGGACGGTTTTCTGCGATCTTCAGTCTTCTGACGGTCTTCGGCGGTTTCTGGCGGTCTTCGGCGGTTTCTGGCGCAAAAGCTACATTGCTGCGGTTCGCAAGGGGTCAATTATCCAACACCCAGCTTACGTTTCCCCAGATAACTAACTGCCCATGGCGTGGACCCGACTGCTTGATGTCCAGGGTGCTGGGATAGAGGCCTCCCAGATGGGGTCCGAGTAGATGGGGTCGAAGGATCGCGCCGCTTCGCCAATGCATCCTAATGCATCGGCGACGCATCGGCGACGTCGGCGTTGTATCAGCGACGTCGGCGTGTGAAGCACGGTCCCCGCATCGAGCCGCATCGTCTATGCATCGGCGATGCGGCTCGATCCACCGACCACATCTACTCCGACCCCATCTGGGAGGCCCAGATGGGAGGGATGCAGGGGGAGAGGGGGGAGGGAGAGGGGAGGCAGAGGGGCGAGGCCAGGAGAGGAGGGAGCGGGAGTCCGGAGGGAGGGGCGGAGGGATCGTCGGCGCTCCCTCTCTTCCTGAGCGCCGCAGCCAACCAGCCAGCGAGACGCTCAGCGTTGTCGGCCAGCTGGAACTCACGGACCGGGCAGCGGTCCAGAACAGCAGGCATACCCGTCGGTCGGAAGAAGTAGGTAGAAACATGAAGTAGGAAGGCATTGAAAATACATTGGGTGTCCGCCCGCCCCCCAAAAGAGAACGGAAAAGGTGAAGCCACTCGATCATTGAAGTAGGAAGGCGCTTAAAGTAGATTGGAATCTGGGAATCCAAGAGTACCTACTTTCAACGACCGATGGGTACTGACCGCTGGAGCTCGGAAGAAGGCCTCCCCGAAGAGATACGGCTGCTCACTGTTGGCATTACTTCTCCACCATACATGCGCCATGCGAGTCTGTTCCCACTTTGATGCGCCGCGTGGTTTGTACTCACCCACCATGGGCACCCGACCCAGGGAGGACATCCTTTGCTAATGACGAGCTGACACTCGAGGTCAGACTACGCCGAGAAGCGAGGAGGAGTGCTGGCAGGGAAGAGGGAGGGAGAAGGGAGGTTTGGCACGAAGGGAAGGACCACGGTAGGAGCGGGTCCTTGGCCCCGACGCTTCCCCCCGCATCGTCTATTCGTCCCGAAACGGCTTTTCTGACGGCCCGAGGCTCAGGATGGCCCCCTCTGGGCGGCCGAAAAGGGGGGTAGACCTCCAGGACTGCTTCTGTTCATGCCGACCCTGAGCAGTCGACCCCTGGATAAGACGAAGCCAGGACGAAGATACATCTGGACGGAGATACATCGGACATGTCTGAGATCCCGCGGCTCCGGAGGATGTGTCGGGCGCTACGGCCTTCTCAGAGCACTTTGGCACGCTCTGAGAGCGTTCCAGAACGCTCTTGAATTGATTTATCGTCGTTCTAGCCCCGCCCGAGGAGGAGGAGGAGTAGGAGGAGGAGGAGAAGGAGGAGGAGGAAGAGGAGGAGGAGGAGAAAAAGGAGGAGGAGGAGAAGGAGGAGGAGGCGGAGAAGGGAGGCGGAGAAGGGAGGAGGAGAAGGGAGGAGGAGGAGGAGGAGGAGGAGGAGGAGGAGGAGGAGGAGAAAAAGGAGGAGGAGGAGGAGGGAGGAGGGCTTATCCTCGTCCTGGACCCGCCCGGCCTGGACCTCTCCAGGGGCGCCTCCCGACCACGACTCCGAAGGGAGTCCAGCCGTGGTGCCGAGGTGCCTGCCGGAAGCTGCACGAGACGCGACCGCGTGGGTTTCTTGAATCGGTGTCGGATGCCCTCCCTGGCGCGCGGAGCGAGCCAGGGGCGGCGCCGAATGCGCTGCCAGGGGGCACAACGCAGATCCAAGAAGTCCGCGCGCTCCGAAAGTGCATGGTCATGCAATCATTTCCTCTTCGATCGATGCCGTTGCCTCAGTCCATCCTCATGAGCTGACAACTGACAACTAACGCCCACACCTATGCGACCGTCTGAATTCTCGGGGTGGAATTCCCGGGGGGGCGGGGTCGATGGGTATGTGTCGTCGGAGGGGGTTTTGCGCTCGAACGGGAGCCCCCGTCAGGGTCCCACACCTCGAACCCATACCTGTAGCGCCTTCGTCGCCTTGCACTTCCCCCCCCCCTCCTCCTCCTCCTCCTCCGCCTCCTCCTCCTTCTCCTCCTCCCCCTCCTCCTCCTCCTCCTCCTCCTCCTCCTCCTCCTCCTCCTCCTCCTCCCTATCGGCCTGAGTGCGTCTTGCTCTTCCGAGCTATCCCCCCTGGGGAGGGCGGGAGGAGCGACGAGGCAGCTCGGCGGCCGATCGCCTGCGGCGCCGGCGCCGGCGGGCCGCCGAGCTCGGCCGCAGCGCCGCGGCGCGACTGCAGCTCGACGCGCAGCTCCTCGGGAGGAGCAGGGCAGCTCTCTCCAGGCAATCGACATCTCCTCCAGGCGATCGACGCCTCATCCCTGCCGCAGGAGACCTTTTTTTTTCAGGCTTCGGCGATAGTCCGGGTCATCCGGTGGGGGGGGCGGTGGCGGCCGATAACCGAACCTTTTCGCTCTGGGCCGCCCCACGTGTATTTATTCGGCGGCGAGCGAAAAGGAGAAGGTCTTCACAGAAGGCTCGGAAGTCCCCTGGCCTTCTCAGAGCTTCACCCCAAGACAGAAAAAAAACTGATCAGAAGGCGCGAGGGCTTCTGAGCATCCCCGCCGCCTTCTGAGAAGGCCTTCTCCTTCTCAGTTCCCCCCCTCGCTTGCCGCCGATGTATCACTGCACCGATCTTGCAGACGTGCTGCAGCGGATTGTGCGTGGATTTCTCCCAATTCAAAACCCCGAAACGGCGAGTGAAAAATGAATACAATTTCGCGTTGATTTTTTTGTCGTCATTCTGGGTCCACAAAATCCGCACGAAATTCACCTCGAAATCCGGAACGAACTTCTCCAGGACACTCCGGGCCCACCCTATCGTTTTCCAAGCGAAATCCGTTCTGCGATGCGCCATGAGATGTGTGCCCGCGCGCACTAGCACTGCATACCCCTTTAGGGACCTGCGCTGCAACGACAGAGCCAGGTGTTCTCCGGGTGGGGCGGGGGGCGGGCCCCAGACTATTTGTTTGACTATGTTGGGCTATGTTTGAATATTCCTCCTGTGGAGGGACATGGTCGACTTAACCTTTTCGCTGTGGGCCGCCCGACGTGCATGCCCGCGCGCACCAGCACTGCATACCCCCCTAGGGACCTGCGCTGCAACGACAGAGCCAGGTGTTCTCCGGGTGGGGCGGGGCGGGCGGGCTTCAGAGCCCGGGTGATCGGTGGCTGTGGGCCCTGGCAACAAAAACGTTGCCCTGCTCACTGCTGCGCTTTGTTCAACATCGATTCTTTGTTATAACCGTTCAAACAGTCATACATGATTAAGAATACAAGAAAAAGGGACATTTCGCTGAAACGCGCAAGAATTCGCTCGCCGCCGATGTATGGCCGCGCGCACCAGCACCGCATACCCCCCTAGGGACCTGCGCTGTAACGACAGAGCCAGGTGTTCTCCGGGCGGGGCGGGGCGGGCGGGCTCCGGAGCCCAGGCGATCGGTGGTCGCTGTGGGCCCTGGCAACAAAAAACATTGCCCTGCTTGGCGGCACGCACACGAGGGTAAGGGAAGGTCGGGCCTGTCCCCCTACAGGCCGATTGCCGACGAAAAAATAAAACATATTCAAAAAACAAGTCAAAACTTGCCAAAGCATGACAAACAAAAATCGTCTATGTTTGTACATTCCCTCTGTAGAGGTACAGGCCCGAGTGAAGGGTAAGGGTAGGGGGGGGAAGTCCTCTTAGAATCGGGGGCGCGCAAACGTGGATTAGCGATCCTTGGATCTGGCGCGCGGTCGCCAGATCCATGGATCGGGGGAAGCGCCCTCCCCAAAGAGCGGCCAGTGCCGCCCCGTTAGGCGGCGGAAATCCGCGATTTCCCACGGACACGGCACCCGTCGCTAATCCAAGCCCCCTTGATCCATATTTGTCATATCCTGATTCTTCTTAGAAGGAGCCTGCTGCTTAGAAGGCGCGGGCCTCACATCTACAACCAAGGCCCGCCGCTTCTAAGAAGCATGCTTCTAAAAGCCTCCTCCCCCACTCCCTCCTCCCTCCTCCTCCCTCCTCCTCCTCCTCCTCCTCCTCCTCCTCCTCCTCCTCCTCCTCCTCCTCCTCCTCCTCCTCCTCCTCCTCCTCCTCCTCCTCCTCCTCCTCCTCCTCCTCCTCCTCCTCCTCCCCCCAATTAGACCCTTGTCGCGCGGCCGACCTGCTCTCGCCCCGACCCCGCGAGACAATTAGACCCTTGTCGCGCGGCCGACCTGCTCTCGCCCCGACCCCGCGAGGCCACGACTTTCCACTGCCCGTGCCCTGCTTCCCCCCCGGCGCTCGGAGTTGCGGGCAGCAGCAGGAGCAGGGAGCTCGAGCGCCGATCGTCGAACCTCGGGCCCGCGGACCTCGGCGGCGACGCTAGGGGCGAATAGCCCAGGGGCGGGCATTACACGTTTTTCGCCCGGGAGCCTTTTCGAAAACATGGACCGTCGGCGCACTTGAATATGACTACCTACCAAACCACCCCAACCCAACCCGAATACACACATTTCGCCCGAATTTCGGGTTGGGGGGGGGGGGGGGGTACGGGCTACATATGTAGTTTCCGGATGTTCCCCGACCCCCCCCCCCACTGGAAATGGAGGGCAAATCGGGGCCTTCGGGTTGGGTTGGGGTGGCTTGGCGGGCGGTGAGAATGCATGTGTCGCTTTCCCCTGGGCTATTCGCCCACAGCCCACTCACTTCTGAAAGAATTCGTCCTTCCGCGTCTCCCAAGTTGTTGAATTTGCCACCATCACATTGTTTGACATCGTCTGCGGACGCCTTGAGACGGCACGGAGCAAGTGGGTCCTGGGGGAAACGGGTCCTGGGCCCCGGGGCCCTCCCCCAGGACCAGTGCGCCCTGAGCCGTGCTGAGGTCGCCCTGGTGCATAGGGAGTCCAAAGACGGCGAACAGAACTCGGGACCCGTTTCCCCCAGGACCCTTTCCTCCATGGCGAAAACAAATGGATCTGGGTCTGGAGCCCAGGACGCGGGAATGGGCGCACGAAGTCGGAAGGCTGGGCACTCGGCCGCCCCGGCCCTAGCATTGTCAGCGAGATCCCAGAATTCCTGGCACGCTCTGATGAGGTCACTAATGGGACATTACCAACGGCGGTGCTCCTCTGTCACTGTCACGCCTAGCTCGCACCTCTCATTACTGAAGAGATCGTATAATCGCGAGGCGGATGAGAAGAGTGAGGAGAATGACCAAGATGCGAGCGTTGCACTTGCTTCTCTGCGGGCGTTTTCACCCAGTTTCGGGCCCAAACCCTCGCTGATCAATCTGGCTCGAACAATTCGCTGGCAGAGTGGGTCTAGGAGCTTCTGCGATGCTGCATTCTTTTGCTGCAGCAGCTACGTCAAATCTTAAAGGGTCGTGACTCGGGGCAGAAGCAAAACCTGCCGTCCCCACCTGCCTGATCCCCCTCCCAAGCCTCCTCCTCCTCCTCCTCCTCCTGATCTCCATCTTCATATTGCACTCGCCCTTCCTCTCACCCTGTGCTATTCAAGGTGTCTGTGTGTACACATGCATCTCTGTACGTGTACATATATATATATATATATATATATATGTACGGACAGCCCCCCCAGCACGCATTCCTGGCCTTCTTTCCTGTTGGCGTTGTTGTACACTCCTCTTCCTTTCCTTTCCCCTTCTTCCTACAATCCCTTTCCTTACTAGGGATCCTTTTCTATTAGCTTCCAATAGGAAGCCGATTGCAACGGGTGTCATTAGAATCCGTTTGTAAACGCTCTCACTAGGAATCCTATGGTAGAGGTTTCCCATCAAAATCCTCTTGTCTAGGCTCTCAATAGGAATCCTTGTGTATTAATTTCCAAAAAGAAACCGATTGCAACGGGTGTCATTATAATCCCTTTTTTGTAAACGCTTTCAATAGGTATCCTATTGTAAAGGCTTCCGATGAGAAGCCTCTTGTATATGGCCACCGAACCCTATATTTTCACAAAGATTTTAAAGATTTTTGGGATGGGAATCATGGAAACCATATGATGTCACTGAGATTTTTGGATTTTTAGTTTTCGGCACCTCCGAATGAAAATCCACGCTGCAGCCCCCCAGGGCTCCGAATCTCAAGAAGCTCTGTGGAAACACAAAAGTTTGCGCCCCCATGCTTCGGAAACCATATGTTTCCACAGAGATTTTGGAAATTGTTGGGATGGGAATCAAAGAAACCATATGATTTCACATAGATGTTTGAAATGTTTGGTTTCTGGCGCCTCCGAACGAAAACACACGCTGCAGCCTCCGGGGCTCCGAATCTCAAAAATCTCTTTGGAATCACAGGGTTTGGCACTCCCTTGCTTCGCAAACCGTATGTTTTCACAGAGATGTTTGACATCTCTGGGCTCTGGGAAGCTGAGGCGCTGATTTTCGTTCGGAGGGCCAATGAGCAAAAATCTCAAACATATCTGTGAAATCATATGATTTCTGCGATTCCCATACCAAAAATCTCAAACATCTGTTTGAAAACACATGGTTGGGGGGCCTCTTGAGCTCCGGAGGAGGAGGAGCGCCTGTGAGCGCCTGGGGGACGCCTGGGAAGCGAATGGGGAGCGCCTGATGCAAAATCAGTGCGTGCCCGCAGCGGCTCCAAGGGACGCCCCGCCCCATCCACGAGGACCCAGAGCGGCATCTGGACCCAGCGCAATCGGTTTCCTATTGGAAAGTAATACAAAAGGATTCCTACTAAAAGCAGATACAAGAGGATTGTGATTCCATAGGATTCCTATTGAAAGCGTTTACAAAAGGATTCTAATGACACCGTTGTAATCGGCTTCCTATTGGAAAGTAATACAAACGGATTCCTATCGAGAGCCTGTACAAAAGGATGATGATTGGAAGCCTCTACACTAGGATTCCTATTGAGAGCGTTTGCAGAAGGATTCTAATGACACCCGTTGCAATCGGCTTCCGACTGGAAAGTAATACAAAAAGGATTCCTAGTGGGAGCCTATACAAGAGGATTCTGATTGGATGCCTCTACACTAGGATTCCTATTGAGAGCGTTTACAAAAGGATTCGAATGACACCCGTCGTAATCGGTTTCTGATTGGAAACTAATACAAAAGGGTTCCTACTCAGAGCCTATACAAGAGGATTATCATGGAAGCCTCTACACTAGGATTCTTATTGAGAGCGTTTACACAATGATTATAATGACACCCGTTGCAACCGGCTTCCGATCGGAAACTATTACACAAGGATTCCTATTGAGAGCCTATGCAAGAGGATTCTGGTCGTAAGCCTCTACAATAGGATT